ATAAATAAAAATGGTGCCTCGCGACTGCAAACCAAGTTAAAGAAGTAATCGACGAATGGCAAGAAAGCGAACTACCCCGCGATATTCTCGACAGGGATCGATAAGGGTATCCCTCGATCCCATTTCCGTGCAAATTGCACCGATCCACGAGCAGCTCGCGATAAGCGTTCGGGAACTCGAATTACCGCGAAAGCTGTTGGAAGGTTCGCGGTACGTTTCGCGGAAGCACGGAATTACGAGCAACGACTTCTCGCGATTACGTCTGCGTCGGGTGGAATTAAATAACAATCGACGCGATTGTGTGGACGGAAGAGGGCCAATGGCGGGTATATTCGGTCTCGGGGCTGGGCGATTTCTCCGCGCGATTTCACCCCGAATCGCTAATGCTCCCCGCGGAGAAACGCGACGCGATTCGCGGGTCAAACGCCCGGTGTCTTTAACCTCTCGCGCCTTTCCGCCAACGCGAATCATTTCCGGTACGCTCCGCGATCAGGATTATCCGTGTTTAATGATCGAGCTGATCGTTACGCGTCCACCGGCTCGTCATTTGTGTTTACCATCCGCGGACACAATTAACGGGGCCGATTTAAACGAGATCGCCGATATGTGTGTTTAATGACGCGAAACGCCATTACGCAGTATAAAACCGTTTGTTTGCACGTAATCATCGCGCCGCGTCTCTTGCCGCCCGCGATTTCAGTTATTTCGCCCGGTTATTTCGATCGTTTCGGTCGGTGCCGTTTTCAGTTTCGCTTCGCTTGCACGCCGCGCGGAAACGTTAATAGATTTCGGTTGTTTCATAATTTCCAGCCACGTTGCACCGCGCCCGGGGGTAGGGGTTGGAATTAGTTGCGCGGAATTACGTAGACGCTTCCGTGCGGCGGATCTCGCGCCGGATATTTGCGCGACGCGAATTAAGAAGAATCGGATTAGACCGGCGTATTTTTGGCATTATCGGAAGAATTTCGTTGGACGGAGAGTAGGCAAGGATCTATGGAAAAAATTCGCCAGGATAGCGGGAAAAATTGGTCGGACGATCTAAACGGAAATCAAACGAGATCAGGAAAGGAATTCGTTCCGGGTCACCGTTCACCCCCTGTCGCGTTTCCATTTTCCCGAGGCAAACAGCTTCCCTTTCAGGCACACAGCAGCTCCTTCGCGAAACTTTGAACGTTCCGCGTCTTCGTGCTCTGGAAACGCACTCCCCGTCTGAATAATTCAGCCAGCTCGCAGTCGAAGGATAGTCGAAGACATTTCGCGTCGGGGACGAGGCGGACAAAGGCCGACGTCGCGAGTTTTTCCGCTTTCCAATAAGCGGTCGAACGATCGCCGGCCCCCGGGCTCTCCAGCCCGTTAATAATTCCGAACCGGCGCTTATCTCGATTTAGCATGATATATCACGTGCTTGCGCACGGAACAAGCGGCCGGTAATTTATTCGCACGCGTACACACGGCCACCGAGCCACCCACTCGCCGACGCGCGCGCAGCGAGCGTGCAATCGGCGACTTTTCTTCGCCCGACGCGCGCGCGTTCCAGCGACTTTTGTCCTCGGCGTTCCTCTCTTGCTCGGGCGCGAAATTAGCGATCGCAATTAGTCGCGGCTGTGGAGCGTGGCTGGCAACCGAGCACGAGCTTTCTTCCGTTGTTTCCCGCGATCTAGCCGCGGGCTCGTGCACCCAGATTGTTTCCCTCGCCTGTGTTCCCTTCCGTTGTCCCCCCATTGTCCCCTTTCTTCCTGCCTCCCTCTTTTTTTCCTTCGCTACCCCTTGTGCTCTACTTTTTCCCTTTTTCTTTTTTCTACTACGCCTCGGTTTGCTGTTTGGCGCTCTGTACTCGGGGCGCAGACGGATCTCGCGTAGACGGAAACGCGCGGTAGAATCGGTTATTCCGGGGTCTTTATGTTTCTACGCGCAGTCGTGTCTAGGTTATCGAATTAAGTAACCAGAGATGATTAAGTCGTCGTTGGAAAATCTCGCAGCTGGAAGAAACTGAAGCTGTAATTTTCCTTCCTTTCGCGAGTAACGACGAAAGTGCAAGGTTGTTCGCGTTCTCTTAGGCATATGCGGAGAGTGCCATTTGGAGGAGCGAATTTTCACTTGGTAAATACGTTAAATACGCGCGCCATATTCTCTACCGATTCCGGTGCAAGTTTGGTAATATCCGGGAGAGGGACGTAATATTCTTCTTGGACGTGGCGTAAGGTAACGTCGAAGTGTTAAATACCTTCGTTAATCGGTCCCGGGAACAAGCCGTAACCCGAAAATCGAAGCGGTCACGGGTTCGCTCGCAGGTCTCGGTAATTCCACTTCCAAAGTAGAATTAACCTTCGCCCCCCGGACCGTCGTCTTAATCACAGTTCTCCAAAAGTCAACACACCCTCGCAGACAAATCCCGCGACCGGAACATCGCGCAAAGCACCTCGATGATCTCGTAAACGTCACGATCCATACTCGCCCTTCCCCGTTCAATCGTATTCCGATTTCCTCCCCCGGTTTCTCCCTCGTCGCTCACCCTCCCTTTCTGCCCTTTCTTCCGACCGTACACGCTCATTGTGCCACCCTATTCGTTCCCCTCTCTTCGCCACTTTCTCTTTCTTTCTTTCTTCCTTCCTTTCTTTCTTTCCTGCACCCCCTGCGACTAGTCACGCGCGCGTGCTCCACCCGAGGGCGACGTCACCCCCCGGACAAATCGCTACGCGTGTTTACGCTAAATCGCTGGAGAGAACGAAGGATCGCGAGGACTCGCGATGGCCGTCCGCGAGAGGGAGCCATCGATGTAAGTCGAGCTTCGACCTGGTCTCGTGTACGCGAGTTTATCCGGATTAAGACGACCTCGTGTCGCCTCGAATGCCATCGAGCACCCTCCACGCGGACGCTCCTTGTACTTGGAACACGCGTTAATCCGACGCGCGAGGGTTGCATTAATCGCGGCAGGCGACGCCGGGATTGGATGGAGATTGTTCCAAGTTGTTCCCGAGGTGGCGGTAGTTCTGAGAGGCCTGGGGATGTTATGGGATGTGGAATGTTAATCGCGAAGGTCCTGATGGAGGTAAGTCATTGGGTATTTAGTATACGGGAATGGGGTAAATGTGTGTCGCGAGTGGGAAATAAGATTGATACTCCACCCTCGGGTAACTGATTTTGGGTCAGGTTTAATTTCTGCCTTACAAATAGTGTTGAGATTATTGGGATATTGATTGAATACAATGTATATAAAACGAAAAAGCGTATTGCTCTGTAATTTATTTGAGTGTAAACGGCACGGTGGTCTTATTACGACTGACTACTGAATGTCTAATGACTTCCGATGGGCTGTCATTTGTGAACGACGGATGGCGTTGTTGTTTCCTTCCTCCAACACATTTTATAATTAAATTGTCAATGTAACTCGCGAAAGCGTTAATTTCGATGACTCCCGTGAATTCAGTAACTGAGTTCTTCGTTTTTTACTCCACATTTCCTGCTTTTTCGTTCGCGTAATTCTGTCGCGGAATCCACGAGTGGTGTTTCCTGGAATTGAGTTTGGAAGTGGAGAACGGCTCGTATTAAATCGCGGTTCTTTGACGGAGACCCGTCCAAAGGAGCTGCTCTGTTTCAGCGGCCCTCGCGGGAAGAAAACGGGAGAAAATTCGGGGCGAACTTTCCGAGACGTCCTCGCGCAAGATTCGTGAAGCAGCGCGATCATAATAGCACGCGATAAATTCAAACGATAGTTATCCCATCTCATTTTCCCCTGCGCAACGTTCCCGTCTTCTAAACACAGGGCCAAAGTAAATCTTCGTGTTCCGCTGTAACTCACGGTAGCCCGGGATTGTTCCATTAAGTAAAAGCAGCGTGATTACGGCACAGTCCATTAGTACCGTTTCTGGAGAACGTCTTAAGGTTGATCCACGCCCGCCGACTCCGCGCCGTTGCAACTACGAAACCGATTTCCCTGTCGTGGAATAATTCCAGCGTCCATCCAACCACCGTTCCGCGTCCGTGGAATCGATGCGACCTGCACGAGAGGTAACCCGAAACGGGAGATCCCCGTTCGCGATCACGACGAAGCGTCGACAGAAGTTAATCCCGGGGACAAGACGGAAAGGAAACAGATCCCCCTCGTCGCGATTTATTTACACCGCGCCAGGTATCGGTTTCTTAGACGCGTAACCAACCGATTCGGAAGCTAGTTTACCGTTACAGGCCGCCCTTGCACGTGCATCGGGCACGTCGCGAGGCATCGACGACGTCTCTAACCTCGTTCCCGTGGTTGGATCCGATTTCGCGTTCGAGCGGATCGCCGGTGATCGACCGTCGGAAATCCCATACGTTCCCGCGAGGATCCTCTTCGACGACGATCCACTCGTTCTCCGACCGCCTTCGTGCAACCCGACCATCCTCCGCGATCATATTCATCCGATCCTTACCGGTCTAGCCAGCTGCTCCTCCAAGCCTCCGTAACAATCACCTCACCGGCGTTAGTCCGACGATAAAGGGCTGGAAAATTGGATCCTTCGAGTGCGAGTCCGCGTTGTTAATTCGAGTGGATTTTAATGAGCGTTTCGATTATGGGCGTGGGCCGTGTTTCAGGGTTACTTCGGTGTGTTACTTCTGATTCGTCGCAGAGCAATACTCCAGCGAGGCTAAGACTGGTGGAAATTTCTAGGGGTGAGATAAGGGGGGAAATTTCTTTCTAAAGATAGTCTTATAAAATAGAACATCTAGTTCCACTCGAAGTGGGGCCCCATTGTATTTGTATTAAATATAGTACAAATTAAAAAGCTACGCACTTGATCAAACAATTCGATCCTCTGCTACTTCCTCGGAAATAATTCTACGCCATTGTGATGCACGCAAACGCGGTATAAAATAAATAATAAAACCGTTTCTATTATACTTTGACACACCACCCCGACGCTCCCATCGACGATCATCTACCGATCAACCTGCTCCGTTAATCACCAACCACTGCCAATCTCACGAACCCTGTTGGAATATAATATTCGTTTCTTTTCAAGGCACCACCGCTGTACCCCATCAGCGCTGGAATCTTGGCCGCGCACCGGACTTTGATTACTCCTTCGTACCACCCGGCGCACCACCCCGCAGGAAATAACTGGTAAATAAGACAAGGCAGCGGAAGTGGCCGGCGCACGCAAAAGAGCGGGCACGCGTCTGATCTCGCAACGGCGGAAGGAGGTTCGGCATTCGCGGAAGAAGGCGCAGCCTCCGGCGTTCTCTCCGGCCTCTACCCAACACCGCCACCTCCGCGTCTCCGGCAGAGGCAGCGGCGTCGCCGCCACCACCCCCGACGACAAGGGGATGAAGAAGAGCGACGCTATCGAAGCGAGACGTGTATATATGTATATATATAGAGGTGCGCGCACGTCGGCAAGTTCAGTCGTCTACCGCGTGCCGAGCGGCGAGGATCGTGCGCTGCCAACCCTCCATTGCGAATTCCCCCCTCGGCTTCCTTCGTTTCGTTGTCGATCGCGCGCACGGGGGTCCGCGGCCGGTCACGTGTCCCTCTCCGTCTCTCTTCCTCGCGCGAACGCGGCACGCTCGAGCGGAAGCGCAGCCGACCGTACCCGCCGCGCGGATTCGTCATGTAATTTCGAGCTGCGACCAATTAACGCCTCTTTGGTCTCCTCTCTTTCTTTTTCTTTCCTTGGAAAAAGGGAAAAAAGGACAATATCGATTCGGATTTTCTATTTTTATTTTATCCTTTCGTTAATTTCTCTTTTCTCCCGCCTTCCGCTCGAACAGAGGTCGCGAAGATGGACACGAAATTCCGAGGAAGATTTCGGAGCGGGTAATCGAGAATCGGGAGGATCGAATGATCGAGGCGTAAGGTGGTTTTATGTTCCTTCGGTATATCGGTGGTCGAGGGCAACGGTTCAGTGAGATGTGAGCCGAGGATGGAGCTGAAGATCAGCATACTGCTTCTGGCGCTTCTACGCCTCGCCAGCACCCTCGAGAGTAAGGATGATTTATTTTACCCTACGACTTATGGTCGGTAATAGACAGCAGCCGGTGTCTGGCCCGGTTCGGCGATAAATTTTTCCACGCTAGACTTACGAGTTCTTGGTAAACAGAGCTCCTGGCTCGAGGGCCGAAGTTTGCGATTCGACAGCCTCGAGTTGGGCTACGCTCCTTCCTCCATGCGCCAGAATTCCGGCTAGCTGTTCGATTGTTACGAAGTTGCGCGTGTTTGCACGGTCGCGAACTTTTCGCGCGTCTGCGTTATGTTTCCGCGAACTTTGTTTATCGCGAAGAGCCTCGGTATGGTTGAAACAGCGCTCGAGGTACGAAACTTTTTCGACTATCGATGCATCGCGGGTCTTCCGAGATTCTTCGAAGACACGATCGGTAAACCAACCAGGGAAGACGCGAAAACGCGCGAGCTAGAAATTTAATAAACGTTTCGTCGCGTTTGCACAGGCCTGACGCGAAGATTAACACCGATTAACGGGGGTTTCATTGCGAAAGTTGAGAGAAATCCTATCGCGTTTATCTTCGGAGTTGAACGTCGAACAGCCTCGAGGATTAACGCGTAATTAAAACCCACGCGGGATGCGAATCGAGCGATATTTCTGTGCCGATAATCGCGAAAATTCTGTTTAAAAATTTCATCACGTACTACGTCCATGTTCCATTGTTCCACCGCCAAATAGGCGCGAAGATCATCGCGTATGCAAACTCGCGCGGAATGCAAACGAAGCAGCGCGATATCGTCGTCGATACCGTTATCCACTACACCGGGGGTAATCGTTTCGAAAAGAATAAATTCGCAACCGAAAGTCGCGCGGTTCTCCGGCGAGCAGAGCCGGAAGACGCTTCTCGAGGGCCGATTCCGGTGTTGGCTGTCGACCAGAGGGAACGGCGCGGCGTTCAGCGGGCCAGCTCTCGGAGCTTCGGGCAGGTTAACAACTGGCGCGAAAAGTTGAGAGCGTCGCGTTGGAAGTGTCCGCGTCTGAACAGCCCCCCGGGCCACGACAGAGATAAATTCGCGGGGCGAATTTACGCGTGCAACGTTGATATTCTACAAAGCCCCGGCTCGGGATCGTGACATGTTTTCCCGCTAGCGTGACAGCGGGGGTAATCGTCTCTCGGTTTACTGCCTCGAGTCAAACAAGAGTCGCGATCGCCTAGTCGTGCCGGGTAATAAAGTTCTGGCTCTGACTTAGCGTGCACGCCGGGAACGAACTAAGAGGATAAAAGAGAAAGATGGGAACCTTGGTATGACGCCGGGTGTAAAGACCAAGGGATCCCCTGAGCGGAGCGGATCCCGCTGACTGATACACGACGTAAAATCCCGTACGCATCGTTAAACCGGGGCTTTACCGTTTCCATCGCGCGACGTCTAAATTTACCAGTGGCCAGAATCGCGACGCGCTAGCCACAGGGACGAGCGAAACGTCCGATCTCTCGGGATGAGGCGTCGTTCGGCTTGTTAACGGGGCCACGACGATCGGGGAGAAACGGCTCGTTTGCCTCGCTGAATTAACCCTTTGCACTCTATGCCGATGCTAGTTGACCGGGGCGTCCGATCTTTATCGGCCATTCGCGGAGTAACGCGTCGCGTTGTCCAAATCGTGGCACGGGCGAACGCGAGTGCTCTAAAATCGAAGGGGAAGGCGTGGGTGAAATGACCGCGAACGATTCGGGGTTTTTCGTGCGTTCCGGGGGCAAGATTTACGACGTTGCGTGGAAAAATTAAGGGGATGGCGGTAGAATCGGAGTGGTAATTAATTCGTAGGAATCGATGGACGGTTATAGCGTCGTAATGCTCGTTGATGGATTACGCGATCGTGTCTCTATCCTGATAATTGGGTTACGGAAGAAAACACCGGTTGATTCGCAAATGACTCCGCTTTTGACCTCGAGAATTGCATGAAATTAGAACCGTTTCCGTCTTTACACACTCCCTCGTCGTTTGCTCTATTCCCTTTCAGCCTTTGCTTCTTCCCACATTTACGGCGGCCAAAGGTAACCGCGATCACTTATTCATAGCTCGAAGGAAGTTTCCCCGGCTTCCTATAATTAGATTAATCATTCAACTGCCACTTTCGCCGCGGTGGGCGTCGGAAGGTTTGCCTTTTTGCTGATTGCACGGGAGATCGAGTCGGATAGAGATTCGTCGCGTTGTAAATCTCGCGTAAATCTAGCGTGGATCTCGTATAAATCTCATCCCTTGGTTGCAGGCACGAAGGAGGAGGAGGACGCGGAGGAGGACGACGAGGAGAATTATCCCGTGGACGACTACGACTACGGCGACTACGAGACCGCGACCATAACCAGCGATATCGATCTTATCGCCGGTGGCTCTTTGCCGATCTTCCTGGCGGAGCCCGTCGACGCGTTCGTGGTGAAAGGGAAGCCTGCAACCCTTCATTGCAGCGCGGCGCACGCTCTGCAGGTACGAGAAGCCGATCTCGAACGCGTAACACCGGTAAACCCTCGCGCGGTTCTGCTTCAAAGCTTCAAAGAACGTGGAAACGGAAACTCCGCGTGGCCCGATTTCAGCGTGAAAATTGAAAATTGCCGCGATTCATCAGAGCCATCTAGCCTCGGCTACGGAACAGCCTACCGAGACCTCTTTTGCATGCCGGAACAATGGCATCCGCGAGATAGGAACGTCGAAGGGCCGTAACAAAGGACCGAGTAGCCGTCACTTTTCCAACGAAAGGCTTTTGGCTCGCGGATTCCGTGTTTCACGCGTACGTGGAGCAGGCTCGGTCCAAGTCATTTTCCTCTCCACCCTTATTAACCACTCGACCACCGTCGTCGTCGCCGCCACCACGTGGACAACCGTGGCTCCTGGCCCTTTTCACGCGCCGCTAATTACCCGCCACCTTATTCCGGCCGCTGCATTGCAGGTGTATTTTCGCTGTAACGGTGACCGGGCTGAGCGGTCGCAGCACCAGGATTTTGTCGACCCTCGTACCGGAACGAGGGTCGTCGAGGTCGAGTTGAACGTGACGAGGAACGAGGTCGAGGAGTACTTCGGCAGGGAGAGGTTCAAGTGCGAGTGCGTGGCATGGTCGGGACCAGGTCAGATTCGAGGGCAGCCCGCCACGGTTGAGGTCGCTTGTAAGTAGAGAACACTCCAATCTATCCGTTCGGTACTCTCTCTTTTCCTCTTTCAACTTTCCCTCGCGAGTCCTCCGTCCTTTTCCTCTATACCGCCGATGCTCCGTTCGTGCACCCCGGTCCCTGGGTCTTCGAGATTACGTTTCGCGTCTCCACTCGGGTGCAGAAACACGAGTATTGTACGGATTCTCTCTTAGGTATTCGAAGAAACGAAATTCCGTAATTTTGTTTATAAAGATAAATTACGCGAATACGTAGCGTACATAAAAATTCGTAGTTCACCGCGAAGGAGACAGTTAGTCATCCTGGAAATATTAACGCAGAATTATCAATCCTGTTTCTCCTCGGTATTGCTTTATAACTTTTCACAAAGCCGAATCACACGAATCACAGACACCGAGTAGTTAGTTCCCGAAGGGAGTACTTCGCGAGGGGGACAGTTGGTCATCCTCGAAATAATAAATCTGTTTTACCCCAATCTAGCCGATTCCTCGACTTTCCCCACGGTAGTCCTATCTCTCGCTCTATGAATATATCGCCGACTCATCGTGGGGAGAAGAAGAATCGGTCTGACAGATCCTCCCCTTCGATTAAACCGTACACATCGGACATCTCTGGCTGCAGATTAATTCCCAAAGAAATCAACTCCTTTCACTACCAAATTATACCTGCAGCTATACGCTTGGAAAAAGGATAGGACAAAAGGGGAACCGGAGGCTAACCTTTTACCACTCCGTCTAGCTGGTTCATTAAAGCTAGGATGTTACGATGCAATTAAACCGGAGGTTCATCGAGTAATAGTCTTCATAATTCAGGTCGTGCAACGTCGAAAGGAAACGGGGGAAAAAGGAAAACGAGAGAGGAGAGGAGAAAAATAAAAACACGCGTCGAGGGTGAACGGGGAGCGTGGGTGGAAGCGAATTAACGCGCGATTGTAGCGCGTATTCATGGGGATAGCGGAAGAGGGGGCTTAGGCCGAACGGTGGTCGAAGAGAGAAAACGGCCGGGAGCGACTAGCACCTGGAATCGGTCATAAAACGTAACTTCATTAACCCGATTAGCACCAGCCGACTCTCGAACGGGGGTTTTCGAGATACCCGCCGCGAAATTCACTCCGGTAAGCTTCGCTGTCGACGAGGGTTAGCCCGGTTGCGGCGCGAGGGATGCCGCGTCCGCTTGTTACCACCGGATATCTCGTGACGCGTAAACCGAGCCCAAAATCTAATCGATATTCTATTGCAAAGCAAACAGCTGTGAATACAGAATCGACGTGCTGCCTTTCGATCACTCCCCCGTTCGATTTCTTCCTATGGCGGCATTTTTTTTCCCCCGCTTTTTGTCCCTGCTTCCTTTTTTCGCGCACGAGGATGAGGTCGAATAGGGGTATTGTTGGCATGCAAATTGGAATGGTAACCGCGGTGATGCGAGACGCGTGACAATGCGACTCGACTTTTGACTTTCGGGCCTAATTTTCGCGTGTTCGACGCTTCGATGCCGCGGATAGCCTAGATTTTTCTCGCAAAACTTTCATGACACGATATGCAGGTGTGGGTGAGGAAAATATACAGCACGCGTATGGATAGTGTAAAGCTTTGCAGGAAATATACAACGAGAACTATGTTTGCAACAGTTATCTCTTATTAATAGCCAACTATTATGGAACTTGCCGGTTAAATTTGGTACCAGGGGTTGGAAATTTTTATCTCTTCGTTCTAAGTATTTTCTTCCTCGTTTCCCATATCGTCGCGAGAAGTTGCGACTGCATAGCAGAGGAACTTGGACTCGTTAGTTCATCTATAATGAGGGAAACCTTGAAACACGGATAAATACTGGAGAAATCGAAATTCATCCCCCAAAGCACGGAGACAAATCACACCCCTTCGGATCGAAGCGGTCAACACTGTCGTCTGAAAAGCATCCTCCGAAGAACCTCTTCTCCCTCCACTTTTTCTTCGACGACTGGTTTCGCGTGCTTGTATCCAGCGGATAAAGTCGAAGTGGCGCTTTCCGTGGACGGAAGTTGAAGAGTCGAAAGAGCAATTTTCGCACAGACGCGTCGCGGTGCGCAAACACGCGGGAGACAAACAGGACGTAGAATTAAATCCGTATTTGCGAGCAAACAGGAAACGGACGTGCCTTCGAAATTGAATACGCGGCAATATCGATCGCCGAGGCGTTTAGGTCGCGGAACATGGCGCCGTTCCGCGTCGCGATCCTCCAGCTGAGGAAACCTTTGTCGGATTAATCCCGCGGTAATTTCGTAGCCTCCTGGACGACGATTCGCCGCGAGTACGCGGCTTTAGGTCGACGGCAGAAATTCCTCGAGAACACGCGAGCGCGATTCCGAAGAAAATCGTGGAGCGAGTTACACCGGGAAGCTATGGCAACGAATATTCCATGATTATACATAAATCCGTGCAGTCCCTTCGCGATTCGTTTTCGCGTACTGTGCCGCAGCAGGGGGATCCAATTACCACTGGCAGTACGGATAAATTAATTAAACCTAACGATTCGACGTAACAGGCTACCCGCGAATCGTGCAATTTCCGCTCGTACGAACGTACCGATGATCGCGATACCAGGACGAACGCGAACGTAACGCGAGCCTGAGCTTCGCCTGATCGCTCGTACTTGCCATTCACGAGCCATACGAAAAGCACGCGTGTCCCGATAGAGACACCGCATCGAGGTGAAAGGTAGTCTAGACACGCAGAGTGCAAGAATGTAACCGGTGCATCAGGTGCGCGCGTCGTTGCTTACGGCTAGCCCTCCGCCGCGTCACAAAAGCGGCTATTTTTCCGCATATCCGCGGCACGCGGAATAATATGGCGCTGGCCGGCACGAATGGCAACCCTCGGTGGCCACGGATCGAGCAAATCTTTTTCTGCCTTTCCTGACCGGTGCAGCCGTGGCTCTGCTCGAGTGCCGAGCATAGAGACGCGGACCATGAAAGCACCCCTGCATTTATACACACGCCCTAATATCGCTGAGTGCCCTGCTCCCTCGCTGCTGTCTCCCCGCGCCCTTCCTCTGTCTCGTCGACCTCTCGTGCCTCGTATTTCCGGGCGAATATTAAAAAAAGCCCACCGGTGCTCCTCGTGTACAGACCTGAAGAAGCACTTCCTGTCGCCGCCGTACTCGTTGCCCGTGGAGGCCGGCCGGAACGTCGAGCTGCGCTGCACGCCGCCGCTAGGGGTGCCACCGCCGAAGGTGTACTGGCTGAAGAATGGCTCGCCTCTCGAGACGATCGCCAGCTCCACGCCGGCTTCCTCCATCGCGGACAGCATCCCCAACGACGTGATGTCGGGCAGCAACTTCGTGCAGACCGGCGACGGACACCTGATACTGGGGAAGGCCGAGCTCAGGCACCAGGGGAATTATTCCTGCGTCGCTGAGAACATCGCTGCGAGGCGGGTCAGTGAACCGGCCGTGCTGACGGTTTACGGTGAGACCTCTTGCGGATTCCGTGGGACCCGTCGTGCATGAATATTGCATCGGTCGTGGATCCTGCGTAATTAGAAACGATGATCGCGTATCGAGGGATAATTAAGCGTAACGCGGATACCGGCGTAGAGGGGATGATGGAATGAGCCGGCGTAGACAATGGGGGAATCGGTGGCGCGTCGCGTGAGAGATCGTAGTCGACGGTGAAGTTCCGCATAAAGGACCGATGCTAATTGTTGCTTTTCAAGGAGTTTAACGAGATTCGCGCAATCCCGTTCGCTCCTGTCGAAACTCTCGTTACGTTCCGCTACGCTCATTGTCGGTCCCGGAACTTCCTAATCGTCCATCCCATCTGTATCGCACTTGCCTTCGCGAGCAGAGTAAATACCAGTTATACTTTATCATTGTTAACGCGTCCGACTACCCCAGCTAGTCTAAGTCCCCCGTCTAGTCTCGTTGCTTCTCTCGCCAAACGCGCGACACCCGTTCCCCGACCGATTCTGGATTCGTTCCCAGTGAACGGCGGGTGGTCTTCCTGGTCCGGATGGTCGGACTGCAGCGCCCGTTGCAGCCGAGGTGTACAAAAGAGGACGCGAACCTGCACGAATCCCGCGCCCATGAATGGAGGTCAAGCCTGTCCTGGTTCAGCCACGCAGAGGGTCGAGTGCAATCCTTCCTGTCCCGGTAAGCTCGACGGTACCGGCCAATTACAAAACAATTACAACGATAGCACGCGTTGCACGTATATACCGGCTAGCCTCTCTAACTCGAAACAGTCTTGTTCCTCGTTCCATCGACGAAACGATCAAAGACGAGCGTCGTCCAAAGCGTACACAACACCGAGATGTAATCGTTTCACCGTTGCCGAGGGTACATCTGATAACCGAGATTTAATCGGGATTTTCAAGTTCACCCGTTGCTTTCAGCGGTCGACGGCAGATGGTCAAGCTGGTCCTCCTGGTCCGCATGCGGTCCCGATTGTTCCAGAGTAAGAAGGAGATCCTGCAACGACCCCCCGGCGAGCAATGGTGGTCGTCCCTGTCAAGGCAAGGACGTCATCGTCGAGTCTTGTTCCGCGGATCGATGTAATGGTGAGCTCCAGCTGGGTTCTTGCCTCCTTTTTTCTCCTCCCATCTTCTCCGTAGTTTCCTTCCTCTTTCCTCCCTCTTTGTTTCACTTTATTTCTCCTTTTATTTCGTCGTGGCCCGTGACCAGGCCAGCGGCGGACAATTTATTACGAGCGAACGGACTTCCCTTGTCCGGCGTCGCGTCCGATGATCGTCGTTCGCGGTCGCATGCGTGCCGCAGAGATACGATTTAAATTAATAATGACTCGCAGAAAGGCCACGATCCTCTATTTGGCTGACCCGGCCTGGCCCGGTCCGGCCCGGTCCCGCCGGAACGTTGCATTGTAATCTTCTTCGATTAACCGGTCATTGGACGCCGCAAATATTCCCATTGTTCAATGACAGACGTAACATCGTCCGGAGAGATTAGATTAAATTTTTCGAGGATGCATCGTGGAGATGGAACGCGACGGATTAAGGACGACCGCGCACCGTTGGCCGTTCAGCTTGTTAACGTTGCGGATAAGGCGGTCGTGCCCCGCAGATTTTCTCAGATCACGTTTATTCTCGTAGAGTAAGTCACTTTTCTTCCTCCCGTGCTATCGCATGCAGCTCTCGGACAGGACGGACCGCGAGTCTTCAAGGAAGGTAAACGCCACTGCGCATTTCGAAACAGTTTGTCCGGTAGGCAGCTGATTTGAGAGCATGTCGTTTGTCTGGTCACAGCAACTAGAGCGATCGATCACAGGAACATACTGGCCCTGTGGATCACACTGAGCCTGGCGGCGATCATACTGGCGGTCACCACGATATTCTTCGTTCGACTGATGCGCCGAAAGGAGAGGATGGAGGCGCTCTACGGGGTAGCCAGGTTAGACTTCCGTCGTCCGGGTGATCTAGCCAAGTCTGTGGTTTCGAAGAACGATCGTTCGGTTCTTTCGGTGGATAGGCGGTTGGAGCAGGTGATAGACGAGTCGAACGCCGCTAGGATGCCTAGGTAAACGATCCTCGAGGAATTAAACCCCGATCGATCCTTGTCCCCCCGTTGAAAGTCTCTCTGACGATACGCAGATCTTGCTCGGAGCACCATTACGACGTGCCACAGCTTTCGCTGCCGTCCACCACCAGACCATCGCCCAGTTCTTCCGTCGCCAGGTCCTCCTGCAGGAACTCCCAGCGTGGTAGAGGCTTATCGGATAACGAGGAGGGACGATCATCCCGTAAGCAACGAGTACCATCAACTTGAACACCGTGATCGAGCAACGGATAAGTCCTGGTAACATCTGGTCTTTAGGGTCCACCTGCCAGGCGAACCAGGAGAGCAACGAGGACGACGACGAGCACGATGACGAGGAAAGGTTCGGGGAGGACAACAGAAACCACGAGGACTCTGGTGGATTCGTCGTGAGGGCTATGGTCGACGAGCAAGGTGCGCTTCTGGTGGTCCCCGAGGTCGGAGTGTCGATGTCCATACCGGAGGGAGCCATCCCTCGCGGAAGAAGATACGGTTTACACTTGGCTGTTCTCGGAGACGACGCCCTGAGACCTGGTCTGCCACCTGGTCTGACGTTGCTGTCAGCGGTGGTGGCATGCGGGCCTAATGGAATCGACCTGGTGAAGCCTGTGATCCTCCAATTCGAACACTGTGCCGAACTCAGGACTGGCAACTGGGAACTGAGCCTCTGGTCCACGGATCTCGATCTGGAAACTCGATCCAACAACTCGTCCAGCTCCTCCACCAATTCTAGCCTCACCTCCACGTCGATGTGGAGAAAGATTCTGACATTGGGCGGCGAACCTATCAATCTCCCTGGTCAACCGTTCGCGCAACTCGATCACTCAGGGGTGTTCCTGGTGACCGAAACTCCTAGCGTCTACGCGGTGGCTGGAGAGAATTCCGTGGTGGCACCTGGATTGGCGGTAAAGAGGATCTGCGTGGCTGTGTTCTTGTCTCGCGAGAGGGATCACATCAGGTGTCACCTGATGGAAGACACGAAGGCTGCCTTTAAGCTCGTGGTGGATCAGGTTAACGTTCGGTCCATGTTTCCAATTGCTGGATTAAGTCTCGAACATCGAACTCTGTTATCTCGATTTTTTTAAATTATCCATGTCGATTCGTACAGGAACGTCGATTAGGTGGCTCCCGGATCGAGCACGGAGCGTTAGGCTTCAGAGCTGGTGGTTCTCATCTTCGGATCGACCTGGAGGATAGAGAAAGCGGGTTCGTTGAGCGCCAGGAGGTGCCGCATCGACGAATCTGGTCGTCGGCGAGAACAAGCGTGAGAAGATCCTTCAGAATCGAGAAAACCGTCGGCGATCTGAGGCTTAGCTTCGAGCTACGAGCCTGTCAATGCGGTTTCGAAGAGCACGCGCTGTTCCTGAGAATCGACCTGGATCTGATGAAGAGAAACGGTTCTGGCGGAAAGAGAACCACGAAGTCTGAGTCATCCATCGTTTTGCGTGGGAAGAATTCGACCAGGTCGACCGAATCGGTCGTTCCCAGACCATTCAGGTATCACTCGGACCCCTTTTCTACCTATTTCGTCGTACATCGCGTAGGTCATTAACAACGAGCGATTTCGTTCATTGAAGATTCTCCAAAACGCTAAGAAGACAGTTGTGTCAGTGTCTCGACCCGCCAAGCGTGCGGGGTAACGACTGGAGAATGTTAGCACAAAGACTTCAAGTAGATCGGTGAGAGTTGATCTTCTACATTCCGTCAGCTAGAATAAGTCGCGTAATCGAACAGGTTCCTAATTTTACGCAGGTACGTTGACTATTTCGCGACGAAAGCCAGTCCAACGGAGCACATCCTGGACCTCTGGGAAGCGAAACACCAAGAGGGTACAGCCCTCGCGGATCTACTTAACCATTTAAGACTGATGGGACGCGTGGACGCTGCCAACGTCCTCGAGAGTCGCCTAGGTCCATGGATCTGAGCCCCTCCGATCGTCACTGCCCATTAAGCAACCCGTCGTTTACAATTTTACAGTGTTTTGTACATATAAGAGAACCGAAGTCTATATTACGAATAAGAGGAATCGATGTAGAATCACGTTGTATAGGGACAACGACCGTGTTTGTACATAAAGTTCGTTTATAGCAAACGTTGACTCTGACTCCATTACAACCTTAAAACTACCCGGAACGCATCATGTATAACGCGCGACGACTTTCGTACACCCATTTCTTCGTCTTCCTCGACTTACCGAAGGTAAACAGCCACGTTATTCGCAACCACTTTCCATTACAACCATTCCCAAAGTACCGGTTCAACGACACCCGCCCACCACGCACCGAAACCCCGAGCCCCGGCCATCAAATCGAACATAACAGCAGCCTAGGCGCAGAATCCAAGTCGTTCGCCGTTCTGGTCCACCGAAGATCCCCGAGATCTCAGTTCCGCAACAATGCCACGCTCGTTGGAAGAACGGAAGTAGCGGACGAGGCTCACCGGGCCAATTTGCACCTGAATACCAGCGGCTACGTTCCCCGAAGCGATCGTGAGGCCGGTGCCAGCAGAATGCAGTCGCGAGTGCATTTAGCCGGCCATTTGGCTGCCATTCGAACGCGTCGTATCGCGGCGCGAGCATTTCAGCCTGGGCTTCTACTATCGTCGTATCGCGTCCAAGAGCAAGGATGCGTGGGATGCTCGAAACAATGGGCATTATCCAGCTAAACATGGGAGTGAGGGTCCTGGGATTCTGGCAGGCTTCGAGGAGCTATAGGTATGCGTGGATGCCAGCCCTCATATAGGTATGCATGTATCCCTTTGCCTTTCCCCCATCTTCCCCTCTTCGCTCCCAATCCTCTTCCAAGGATGGTGGACCGAGTGGAGGGGCGACGTTTAATCACGGTAGGCCGCTGGTGGTAATTCCGTCGGACAATGGCTGTTGACCTGCGTCGTTCAGGGGTACCGGCTACTCTTTCGCGCTAATACCGTGAACGCGGATTTGTCGGTGGCTCGACGTCGGCCAGGTGACTGTTTTCTTCTTTTCCATACAAAACTACCGAACCGGTGCGAAGGAAATGATCGATCGTGAGAGCCGAACGATGTCACGCTTCGGTTTCGATTATCGGCTGTCAATCGTATCCGGAATGGTGATGGAAGAGCCAGGGTGACAGGTGCTAAACGTTATTGCTTCGTTTCGGCTCCGATACGCGTCGTAATCGACTTATTAGCAAGCGTATATGCGAGAGGTATAAATAGCTGTCGGACGATTAAAAATTCCATGATCGTTCTACCATAGCCACGTCCCGGAACGACGCTTATCCCGTTGGAACTCGCGGCGCGCCACCCCCCAAGGAATTAGGGGAAGCGCGGCTTCTCCGGTGCCATAACGTCTAATTCGAAATTGAACCGCGGTCCCGGTGCTAGCCGGCATGAATCTTCTCCGATATTAACCCATCGTGCATATCGCGGGCAAAATCGAGAAGGCAGGCGAGAGATTTCCGCGAGGCAAGCGCGGTCACGCGGCCCCGCGATAACGTCGTCGTAACGACGCGGTTATTGCCGCGCCGGCCGGCCATCGTATATGCATAATCCACGTCAGAGTCGCATAAATTCCACATCCAGAACCGTATTAATTTCCCGGACTAATCGCGATTGGGATCTACAGGCAATTACGAGAAGGATAGGCCAATCAGATTGGCGGGCGCCGCTTCGCTCGCTTCCGTTAACGCGGAAGGTCCGGTCACGCACACGCAACCCCCGGCCACCCCGCACGCTCCACCCTCTCGACGGCCATCGTACGACGCGTGCAAAACAGCCGGGAAGCACCACGAGGGTCAGAGCCGCCTGCCTTTATGAATCGTGCGGAGGTATCGCGATCGAGCCGTGGCTGAAATCGATCTCTCCCCGCCGCAGTCTCTCATCCGCGATTCCACCGTGTGAATAAATTATGCAACTAATTGCCGTAACTGCAGGCGATTATTGCTCGATCGTGTATGACTAATGTGTAAACGTTGCGCGAGTTCGGCTGATATATTTGACGAATAGCCGGTGCACGAGGGATTATCGGGTTTGGCTGGTAATTGGTTGATTAGGTGAGTGTCTTGCGCTACCTCGGGTTGTCTCGTGGTCGTGTGTCCTCCGTGGTTGGCTCTTCGGGGCAGTTTAGCCGGGGCTCGGTTTGGATTCGCGCGGTGTTTGGATTGGCGGTCGAGGGGTCGGTCTTGTTAAGGGAAATTCGGCTAGGACGAGTTTGATTTCCTTAAATCGATACACGCGGAGCCATTCGCCGGGCTAGTCATTTGACCCGAGTTTTGTACGTTCGATTCGTACCTTGAATGAGAATTAACGAGCGGCGGGGAAATTGCGAGCAGGGGATACCGGAATAAACGCAATTAGCATGATACCGTACGATACACGTGTGCGTAATATTAGAGGCCAGGGGTCTTTCGGATAATTACACGCGATCGGGAGGAAATAAAAGAGAATCAGCGGTATAAGGAACGGCGGATTGGACCATTTCGAGAGGGGAATGTTGCCGACACGATGAAAAGAAGATTCTAAAGAACGAGATCGAGGATTATTCCTCTCGCCAGGGTATCGTCTTCCTAACGAGCACAGAGACGTATTCCCGAGTCCAGCTCCCTCGATGCTTCGTGCTTTAGATGAATCGAGCCCTGTTCCTTCTTCGGCTCCTTTGTAGATGAAATAGAAACACGCAAATCTGCAATTCGGATGTAAAAATGAATAAGGGAAGATGAAAATATCGCGGAAAAGGGGAATGGCAAAAACGAAATCACGCGAATGACGCGAGGAGTAGTTAGACTAGTTAGACGGAAATAAAAAAGGGACAAAGTCGTCTCTAAAACGGCGTCGGAAGGAACCCGCGTATTTTTCCGCTGTCGTCCGGCCGGATTTTTGCCGCAGCGCGGAAACAAAAAGCGTGGCCGCATAGTTTCGAAACAATTCCGTCGTGGAATTCCACGACATCCGCGGCTAAAGGGCAGTAAATTTGCCGTGCATTTTGCACGCCATGCTGCGCGTTCAGGCACGTACAGTCTTAGCAAAAATCGAGGGAACGCGATAATTCTCCGACGATCGACGAATTCATCGAAGTCAAATTTCGAGATAACTTTACCTCCTTTAAATTCTAGTGCTACCTAATAATTTCCATGCAAATTAGACACCGTGTTCCTTAACCGAAAGAAACCAGATCCCAAGATTCCTAATTTTGTTTTACACTTCAGCTAGCTTAATATTCTTTGAATATTTAAAAACTCTCCATTATACTAAAAATTTCTTTTAATTAAATATTCAATTTCGCTTCGCGGAGTGAATATCGTACAGTTGGACGACGAGAAAAAGAAGCTTCCTCCCGAATGACTTTCAATATCCCAAGTCTTGGCGTGTCACGTATACACCCAGTCCTGTAGTAATCATAGCCAGAACCATCGAATAGCTGCAAGATCCCGAAACCCTGTTCCATCCACTTGAATCCTCTCCACGCACATAATCCGACCCTCCTCCATGAACAGTAGCCTCGATCTCTGCGGCGCTCGTCAGAATCTAAACACAGTCCCAATCTGCATACATTTTCTTACGGCGCGTTGCAGCAACGACGACGCCGTGGCAAGATCGTAAAGCAGTTCCCATCTTCGTCTCCTCCCCTCCGGTGACTTTACAAATTGCGATGCTGTCGGTTACAAGTCACTCCGCGCGAGAGCAGCCGGCGAGCGAACGTAAATAGCGCGCGTCTCGCGGCTACACGCTCGCGATCCCATTAAACCCGCTCGCGGGTACACGGTTGCGTCCTGTCTGTCGACGAATTTGCACCGTGTCCTACCCCTGCCGTCACCCCTCGTGCCCCGACGTATCGATGCGTCCCGATACGACGCCGCGCGGCGCCGCAGCGGATTCCTTGGCCACGGCGTCTAGCTCTCGACATTTGCATGCGAACCGCCCGGCTTTAATCCGCGGCCAGGCGCTGAATTATGCGTGTCGACCGATTTGCATAACGTTCGCGCGGCGCGAGTCCGATGAACGACGATTCCGCGGGAAAATTGGCCCCCAGGCCGGAATTAAATCCGCGGTTCGTTTAATTAAGCGAACTTTACAGCCACGCCACTCGTCGAGCTCTGTCCGACTCTTCTTCGTCGTTTCCACTTCGCCTTCGCGCGAACATCGCGCGTCGTAAAGTACACTAGCCGTAAAACGCGCGCGGATAGGCGTATTACATTCGCGTACGCGCGAAACGCTTGGTCGCATTACGAGAATTACGCGGAGGAATCGTTCAATGAACGCGGTTTGTAACAACGTTTGAATGAAAATAGTCTAGCATGGAATTTCGCGAAGATTCGAGTGTAAGAGTATATAAAAGTGTGCGAACTCTGATTACTCTGGTTAATCTGGATAAGATGACGTGAGTGACGAGCTCCTAACAATGATAACCAGAGTCTAAAAATTAAACGGCGATCCGCTGCAAAAATCGAGGGAACGCGATAATTCTCCGACGATCGACGAATTCATCGAAGTCAAATTTCGAGATAACTTTACCTCCTTTAAATTCTAGTGCTACCTAATAATTTCCATGCAAATTAGACACCGTGTTCCTTAACCGAAAGAAACCAGATCCCAAGATTCCTAATTTTGTTTTACACTTCAGCTAGCTTAATATTCTTTGAATATTTAAAAACTCTCCATTATACTAAAAATTTCTTTTAATTAAATATTCAATTTCGCTTCGCGGAGTGAATATCGTACAGTTGGACGACGAGAAAAAGAAGCTTCCTCCCGAATGACTTTCAATATCCCAAGTCTTGGCGTGTCACGTATACACCCAGTCCTGTAGTAATCATAGCCAGAACCATCGAATAGCTGCAAGATCCCGAAACCCTGTTCCATCCACTTGAATCCTCTCCACGCACATAATCCGACCCTCCTCCATGAACAGTAGCCTCGATCTCTGCGGCGCTCGTCAGAATCTAAACACAGTCCCAATCTGCATACATTTTCTTACG